CAGCTAGCATTAACTACGTCACATCAATACTGTGCTCATACGCCGCAACCTGGCGTAATCGCTTAACTCAGGGGTTATTCTCGTAACGACGTGCGGTTAGACTTAACCAAAGCCCGTTCGTTACAGGTTGGGAACTTTGAGGGTCTTTAATTTTGATAGGTATTTGGATGCAGACTTCGGCCAGAGTCCATAGTGATGCAGATCAATGAGCTGTGTGGTCCAACAGAGATGTCCGCCGCTCGCAACAGGAGATGGTACGCATATGTGACAAATGAATAGCCTCGCGTGCACATGACGATCGCGTCATTCTTCGCAAGCGTCTACCACTGCACATGAAGAGATGGTCCTGCCGCGGTCATGGTAGACTTGCAGGTCGAGTCAGGTGCAGGCTCCAGTCATGCACCAATGATGGCCCATGCGCGTGCACGCGTGTTTCCCTTATGAAAGATACACAAAATTCTAGCTTCTCAAAGCCGTGAGCGTTGAGAACACATGTCATGTATACGGATCCCAGACCGTGCAGTTCCTCGGAGTACGGCGTGCTACCACCGCACTGGTACCGCGGTGGTACCGCACACCGTTCGCGGTGCGTGCTCGGTGCCAACGTGCCCGGTACATGCAGTCGAGATATTTTGGCACGCGATCTCTCAAGACGTCGATCGGGACATGTACAGTGCCAATGCGCAAACAGTGGACAGGTTGTCAGATGTTACGTACAACTCACTGGAGATTTCGTATATTTCGGGGCCTCCTGACCTCCGTGGAGATATCTGTTCAATGTTGCACTCGGAGTTGACTATCGGGCACTGCTTGATCTGAATTTTTGCCCTCAATAGTCACTGCTGACTCTCCGAACGATGCTCGGGGTTGGTGAGCTCGGTTCGAGCGCGGTTCATGCGCGTCTGCCGTTCTAGGTACCTATGTACAAAATTGAGTACCATTTCATGAACGGTGTACCGGTACCTAGCTAAGTAGGTCTGGACTCTGGTGGTCTGCGTGCAGGCACTGGGTACCGTACTGGTAGGCATACACTGCCATACAGGGTACCTGGGTTCAGCATTGTGCCTACCGTCCTGTACCTATGGTACCTACGACCCGCCTCGGCCTCAGCCTTCAGGCCGCGTAGGTACGGTACCTTACTCACAATTTACTTACCTAGCGTTGGCCCGGTACCGAGTACCGTTGGAACTAGGACTAGGAATCCTAACTTTCATCAGACTCGTCAGTTTGAATTCGGAGTGCGAGCAACGACTCTCTTTCAGGATTCCAGGCATCCACATAAACCGTCGATGTAATATGTGAGCCATATCCAACGGCGATTCGTCCCTGTCAAAGCTGCAACCCTAATTATCAACTTGACCAAGCTCGAGCTGGCTGCTCCAGTCTGCTCAAGCTTATAGTCCTAGCTAGCCACGACTGCCACGATGACCATCAAGATAGTTGAGCGTCACCCACAGCAGCTGGTCTCTTGATTATTAATTGCTCCAAGATGGCGCTTCTAACTTATTTATCATGGTTTTGGCAATTGCTACTTAAAGCCTGTGTGTACCAATGTGCTGAATGTGAAATTTGAAAAGTTTGAGCTTCAAGTTTCATGATTTGTCACCTTTGTGCTCAGTCCAAATCAGTCTGTCATTGCCAACTTCCGAAATGTCTCAGCTCCATGCATTTTCCAAAGAGGTATGGGGAAGTCTTGGGAATCTTTAGGAAGGCCCCAAAAACATGTTGAGCTGAAAGTATGTCAAAACGATTTTTGGAGGCCGAACCGCAAGTACATTTGCATTCATAGCACATTGGATAGGGCGCCTGCAACTTAAATTGAGAGAGCCGCATGATCGGAAAGAAGCGCTTTGAAGGTAGCCATTCTGCCATTGCTTTGCAAGGATTTCGCTGCTTGGAAGCCATACTTGTGTGGTGTCTCCATGCGCTCTCTTTGGACCCTCTTTTTGCAACATGCAGGCAGTACGATGCCTCTGTACTCGATCCGTACTAGGACCTCGGAGGTACCATACGGGCATCATGAAGTCACCACCAGGTACCGGCGATGCGTACCGTCGATTGAGCTGTACTTGCGTACAAGTACCGTGCAGTCTACGCGCCGGTACCACGCAAATTTGGCCGGGGACTTCCGCGTACGTGACATGTGAAGCTAGTAGCTATTTAATTGTCACATTAATCTTGATAGTACGGGGCCGCCACCTTGACTCAGAAACAATCATCTAGCACATATGAGCCCCATATGTGATCGTGATAGAGAATGAGTTGAAGGCGTATATGTCCAATCGTCGCATATGTCCCGGCTCAGGCATGTGTCGGAACAAGATGAAGCGATCACATTTTTGCATGAAAATGTAGATGTCCATGCTTCAACCCGGTAAACATACATTGAACTTGCCATGGAAACGTACATGCACTGCATGATAAGTACATGTGGCACATAAAATGAAACTCAAGAGCGCCATACAGATTTTATGCCCAAGCCTGCATGACAAAATGTTTTTCGATAAACCTGCTTATCGTGTCGACATGTATAGGTCGAAGCTTGACATCTAAGTACCATTAGCCTCGATAGCATATAGTATGCACACATGCATTACAGCAATGATTAATTGTAGGGGACACGAACCGGAAAGTGCAAACTAAAAACGTTCATGCTCCTCAAGCTAGAAATAGATGCAAAACATTTTCCCAAAGCTCTTGTCGAGTGAGTGCCTATATCGCGCGATGGTGACTTCTCATTTGTTAACGCCCTTAGCCACATTAGAGCCATGGAGCACGGTCTTTGGCAGTCCCGGGATAGTTTGTTGAATCTACAGCTCGCTACGATTGTAAGTCTTGTCCGGCGATCAATGAGAGAAACGGTAATGGCAAATTAATAATGAGCACGAATTATTGTTTTAACATGTCATTTATTGCTCGAAGTAACCTTGAAGCAAAGCCTCAATTCAAAACAACTCAGATCTGCGTGCATTGACAACAAAAAATATCCCAACACGGACTACAATCGCAGATATACAAATTCGGAATATGTCTGACTAGCTCTTTTCTATGTCCCAGAATCGCAAATGTACAGGTTTCGAACTCCTCGCTATATGTAAGACGGTAATCACCCTCAGCTATGTTCCTTCCCTTTGCTTTGATTTAAATTCTTCACGAAAGCGTCCGTGTAAGTTTGAATGTCGTTCATTGTTTCGTGTACTAGAGAAGTTAAAATATGCTGTACATAGAATCCTGCACAAGTTCGGGAGCAAAACAACATAAGCTACAGATTGACGAAGTATCATGTATGTTCCACAAAAGTCGGGACAAAAGGCAAAACATCAAGCTTGCTTAATAACGATGGTCAGATTCTCAGAATCCAAGCACAACCTTTCATCATCTGGAAGCTCGGTACTTGCAAACAGCATGTTTCAGCTCAATAACATCTGGCTTGCTTATCGAAAGAGGAAAGAGCTTCAAGAACGATCCTTCTCCTTCTCGGACGCAAGTCTCGAAACAAAGCGCGGTCTAAAACGGGGTATTGTAGCAAAGATCAGGCGTACCTGCCGGACCTGGGGCAGCTATTGAAGGGCGGGCCCTTTGCTTGAGCGTCAACCGCGAAGTGCTTCCAGCGTGCTTGTCTCCTACTCCGGGACCTACCGGTTCCACTTGGAACATACCATTGAAGTCTTGCATGAACCCCGGCCTAGCTCTGAAGAGAACCAAGAGTACAAAGTCAAACGGCAAGCTAGAAGAAAACGAGACGAGGTGAGGAGGGAAAGTCAAAATTGGACCGCAGAGCAGATTGACCAGATATCGCAGATCTACATGCGTTCTTTATGATATGAAACGGGTCAAGAATACCAGATCGGACAACGCAGATACTCCAATGATCCAGCGCGATCCGGCCTAGCCCTCACCACCGTACTCTGACAATTCTCGAAGGACTTGAACACAACAAAAAGCACTTGAACACAACAAAGTTCGTCAGTTTTGACTCGTCAACTGGTAGTATAGAAGCGTCAAGATTGCAAACCCGTTGCCTCTCAAAGCACAAGACCGTGCATCTCAGGGATGCCGTCACACTAAATGGAGTTTCGTAAAATAGCAGAATTCTTCTCCAAGGTTGCTCAGCCCGTACTGTCAGACTGACAAAGCTTGAGCACAGCGCACAATAACAAGTGAAAAGCCTCCTCAAGCACTGTAAAATGTTGTGGTTCATTGGACAATACAAAAGAACACGCAATCATAGACTGTACAGGGTGCCATACGAACCGAGGATGAACTAAATGAGGGCAACTCACAAGTCGAATGTGATTGATCTCTTGACAGGGTCCTCATTCACCCAAAGCTGAGACAGGAACGTTCCATTGAACATCATACACTTCCACCGCTGCCGTTGGTGCAAAAGCTTCTTCCCGTCTTTGTGTTCAATCTGCCGGCACATGAGGCGAACTTTTGAGATCCACGAAGTTTGACCGTTCGAGCAGAAAGCAAACCAGATTTGAGTATAAGGCAGACTGGTGCAAAATGCCGTTTCATCCAGCGCCACCCGTGCTTTCACACCCGCTGCGTCAAGGCCTTTCCTCAACGACGAAAACCCAGCCAAAGCCGTTCAAATGCTTCTAATACATTCACTGGCATTGAGCAAGCTTGCCTACTCCCCGACGTCTGCGCGTGCCAACGCCTGCGCGCAGTCCTATTGTAATGCATGATATCCACACGGACAGACAGACGTGCAAGCCCACCTTGGCTCCAGCAATTGAGCGGAAGACGTTCTTGGAGTTCTCGTGGTTTGCTAGGATGCTGTACACTGTGTCGGCACTGGCGTTGATATCTTGTGTCGCCAAAACTTCAAACACCTGGGCCTGTAAGGGATTGGACATGCGTCTCATGAATTCCAGAAATGAAGCTTTCTTGGCAGAAGCGGAACAAGTGCGCAAGCTGGAAACATGGTCAGGCAATGGCAAAATAGTCATGGACTATTTTTGTGGATTCAATCAAACCTTCCATGGTGTTCCTCTGATGACACTCTACTAGGTAGGCAGAAAACTAGCTGAAACCGGCCGCACGAGGTCAATCTGATATGAATTGGAAATAATCTCAATAGACTATCAACTTGAGATGAATAAACAGATGAATGTCTTGAAATGAGTAAGGTGAGGAATAAACCCAATTGGTTCTGCTCCGAGTTTGGTGTCAGACTTGAGGGGTCGACACCAACTTTTGACCTGCCTCCAAAGGCGTTCCCTTCGAGCCTTACTGCTAAAAGGGCCTGAGAGTGAGGCAGGGCCTAACTAAATCACCACAGTGTTTGGCACCATTGTTGCTTTGCTTAGCAGTGATTCAAAAACATAAGTGGCAAGAAGAAGTCAATTTGCCCTACCAGAATCCTGATATATGAAAGTTTACCTGGCCCGTTTCGTCCTTAGGCTTCCACACTCGAACATGTGGCTCCAGTGCACCCCGCCGGTCAATGAGAAAGGGCCGCCCATGAACAACTCGCACCTTGCCCACATTCCTGTAAGACCACCGCGAGTGAGACAGACGCAGCAAGCACCACCACTTCTCATTTCCACCTTCACGCGTTATGAAGTCTTACGTACAGGCACATAGTACTATGTTTCCCAGATTCCATTTAAAAGTTGTACAAACGAACAATAGAACCTGCAATGAGTCTGTTAACCATCATAATGACTCCTTCCAGGTTTTTGAAAGATCTAATGATTCGCTTTCCAGATCACTAACAGCACAACTCTGACTTGGAGGGAATCGGGCAGGAATCCACTGCCGATTACGATTTCAGGTTTGCACGCAGTCAAACACATGGTCATTGTCAGATTGCTTGCAGACTTTTTGGTTGGTGGTGGCCCGCAGACATGCTCCTATAACCCTTGTGTCCATTGACTGTTCTACCTGGATAGACGAACTTCACCGACGCATTGGCTGGCATTGACAAAGACAAAAATACACTAGGATACATTCCCAACAGACGCCTTCATCATAGTGTGGCATTCTCAACCAAGCATTGAACACAGCCACGTCCTAATGGAGCTGAAAAATGCTCACCAATAGCTGGAGTTGCTGTTTACTTTGCTAGACCTCCACGCTGCATGTGCCTATCTTTCAACAGGTTGACCAGACCTGTATGTTTTGACAGCGATTTGAATCATCCTCTGATCGACAGCACTTCAGATAAACATTCATGATGAAGAAGGCCAATTGCGTGCACTCACCTCTGCAATAATTTCCCAACACTCTCATAGCGGGGCACTCCAGTGATGTCCAACCCAAACTCCTTCAAACGCTCCACAACGTGTTTCTTTCTGTTGCTCTGGAAGTGCATTGTTCTCTCCACATCTGGAGACATAGCGCATGTGCCGCAAATGTTGAAAGGCAGGTCTCCCCCTGCCCTTTGACTGCTTGCACGCAGAACCCTGTTGCTGAACGGGCTCAGCTGCTTCAAGGCTGCATGCACTGATGCAGTGCTATACAGTGCTAGGAAGCCGCCAAGGCCAGCAATGAAACATCGATTACTTTTTCTGGGGGGCATCTCACGTGCTTCGACTTGACTTGCACAGAAAGTTGAAACCCTAATCTGACACGCGGTGTCTGCAGCAGGGCTGCAGAAGCCTGAGAAGGGCTCTGAACGGTACCTAGTTCGACGACGAAAGGGCGCTGCATGGTGAATGCGAAGCGATAGAATTTTAAAAGCTGGCTGAGGTTGCTTCAAGGGCGTGAATCATAAGAAACATAGGCCTAGAAGCTCATTGCTGGCAGCATGTCGGGGGCTGCAGTGGCTGCTGTTGCCGGTGCAGGTATGAGCCCTATGTCTTGTTTTACTGAAGAACAGTCTATTGATTGAGGCAGTATCTTATCTGACACGTTCACCTCAGATGCTAGACGTTCGCTTCTTCTGATCGTATCAACCGTTCAACCGTTCCTTGATAGTACCACTCGAACTTGCAGGCGGCGGGATCCTTGCGCAGGTTGTGACATACCCCTTGCAAACTGTGAGTCACCTCTGCTACTGATCTGAGCATGCTCATCTATCATATGACCACTGATGTTTCATCTTGCATCGCATGTTTGATGGTCTCTCAAGGATTGTCCAGCTTGGCATTCTCTGTATCTAGAGCACAACTTTCATACGGAAGCGGAAGGTTTGATGTGGTCAATTCTTGCAGGTCAACACCAGACAGCAAACAGAGAGAAAGCTCCTGAGGCTTCCCGATGCAGATGTTACCCCATCTGAAGCATCAAAAACCACTTTGCAGCAGTTTATAAAGGTAAAACCGCTGAACCAAAGTAGTTTTGGTGGTCAATTGGGTTTCTGCCAGAGCTGCATGGGAGGATTGTGCTGATGGAAGATGGATATGCATTCATTCACTGATTGCTAGTGTTGTCCAGGGCATGAGACCGCTCATGTTGATTGCCTGATGGTGGTGCATCTGTTGTGAGCAGATTATCAATGAAGAAGGGCCCAGTTCTCTGTATCAGGTACGCTTTTAGGCATTATGGCAGCTGCGGCTCTTGAACATGAACTTGCTGATTGATTCTTTATTAAGTTTGAACCCATATCTTACGAGGCAGCTCAGGCTTCGTTGCAGTTCTGAAGCAATGATGAGCAGTCACGAAGTCCAGGAAAAGCTGTCGCCTTTCTTCCTGCTTTAACCGAACTTGATCTGCCCCACTTCTGCTGAGGGGCGAGTGGTTGCATCGCTCCTGTTGTATATTGTCTGGAGTTCTGGACACGCAAGAAGCTGGCATTTCCCACGAGATACCCGAGGATTCATCTCACTCTGTCAATTTCTGCGTGATTGATTCTCTCAGGGCTTGGGAAGTTCCATCGTGGGAACTGCACTTTCTCAGGTGAGGCATTCGCCACGATCCAGAATGGATCGGACCCTTTTTTTGGAATGATGTTACGTTCTTATAAGATGTTCTGTGAAAAACATGCTTACTGTTTACAGTGATCCAAGGGCAGATTGCAAGAATCGCTTATCATGTTGTGGTGGAGCTCAAGCAGACACTGGGCCTGATTTGTCGTAATTACAACTGTTTGCTGAGTCATTTTTGAAAGTTCTTTGTCATAGGGAATATACTACGGAGTGTACCAAATGGGCCGTGATTGGGCGACCAACAAGAACAAGAAGAGTATTGGCACGTTGACAAGCCTTGCGGTCGCCGCTCTTAGTGGGTGAGTGGCCTGGTCAATCTACCTTCCTCAAAGAACCCTCCCAACCCCCATCACCCACCACTGTTTGAAAAGAACACGTTCACTTTGCTGTGGACTTAATTTGCTGCAGCTTTCTTCCGGATGCTCCTGCGAAAGAGGCGTTGACATGGTGAGCAGAAGCAGGAAGCGGGAAAACCGCTTTTGGATATCCTTTGCACGTTCAAATCGCAGCAATCTTGGCCAAGTTATCGATGACAGTGGCATCAAGCTCATTAACCTGTTCCTGCCTCCTTGCTAGGTGCGTCAATGTGCTGCTGACTACACCAATATGGGTTGTGGTAACACGGCTGCAGGTACAAAGCTCGTCTTCTTGCTCTGCAAACCAGCATCGGCAGGGCATCCCCTTGCTGCAGAAAGTTCGTGTTCAAAAGTAGGAGTCTTATGCTTGGGACGTTGAGAATCTGCTCACTCCGTCTGCCTGACTGCTTCTTCCCCCTCCTGGGTCAAGCTCGATATATCACTTCAAATGCAGACCGAGAAGCAAGCACGGAAGGCCAAGCTGCGAAGACTCTCAGAAGCTGCTGGCCGATACGAGCTCGAAACGGGAGTTCGAGACAGGAGCTTTGTTGAGAAACCGGTAACTACGGCAGGCGCGGTGAGTACTGGCCCTAACTGTTTCGTCGATGGTAGGTTGGATCCATGGTGACGGGCTGCTCAAGTCGCTAAACAAGGATGACAGGTCGGGCTCGGGTGTTCGTAACGAAACGCCTGTCTTGTGCAGGTTGCTGAGATGTACAAGGAGGCGGGCCTTCTAGGTTTTTGGAAAGGTGTTTTACCTGCGCTGATCATGGTGAGCACCTTCGACTTCGAGAAGCGTTGTGCCGCTGACTTGCTCGGATGTTACGGGCTCGATCACTCGCTGAGAAGAATCGGTCATCCTCATGATGTTCAAGCTGATGATGCCTTTGAAAAGCTGGAAAGGCCCAATGGACATGTTGCATCTGGACCTGCTGATAGAAGTTGACCAGATCCGAGTGATAATGACACTTTGTTTTGCAGGTTAGCAATCCAGCAATTCAGTTCATGATTTACGAAGCGCTGCTAGAGCGACTGACTGCAAAGAGGCGGTTGAATAAAGCAGGGTTCAAGAACATTTCTGCCTCAGAGGTGAGGACTGCGTTGCGGCTGTCCTTACCGACATCTGTTGGAGATATCGTTTTGGTTTGCTTCCCCCGCACCCGCTTCTTGAGCTGCAAGCACTCAAGGCGCCTCGTGTTCTTTGTGCATCTCACTCTTGCCTCCTTCCGTCCGTGCCCTCACAGCCCGGCGATTCCTTGCAGGTGTTTATGCTCGGCTCCGTGGCCAAGCTGGGCGCAACGCTGGTCACGTACCCGCTCCTAGTCATCAAGGTGCTTCTTCACCACACCTGAGCATACGGGCAAGGAGGGAGTGAAGGTCGTGCTTGTGAATACGTGCACTACCTATCGCATCGTCAATCTTCGAGGCCGAGCCCTGGTTTTTGGCAACCTTTACTGACGGTGCCCCCCGGTTCATTTGCAGTCGAGGTTACAAGCGAAGCAGGATATTGGGACGGACGACTCGTTGCAGTATACTGGTGAGTACTCTGACTGACGCTTGGGTCTCGTGCACTCGGACATAATGTGTGACCAGCTGCGGACCTACTTCGAATCGGTCTAGGTAGGAAGCTGAAGAGAGTCCTCAGGTGCCGACATGCAAGAAGCACCTGCCGCTCTATCGTGCCGCTGGAGTTTGACCAAATCCGTCTTGGTCGCAGGGACCCTTGATGCTGTGGCCAAGATGGTGAAGCACGAAGGGTTTCTCAGCTTCTACAAGGTAGGCACCTCCTTTCCAGACGTGCGTCGCTTGGGAAGGCACCAGCTGCCTTGCAATCAGCTTTATCCCCTGAGATGTCTCTTGTGGCCCTGCGTTCGCCAACTCGTTAACGCTTCTTCTTCGGTCCTCGTTTGTCCTCGACAGGGGATGGACCTCAAGATCGTGCAAAGTGTCCTGGCTGCCGCCATTCTTTTCATGACCAAGGAAGAGCTCGTCAAGCTCGCGTTCGTACTGCTGAGGTCCAACAAGGGGCGGAAGCTACCAGCTTAACGTGACAACCTAGCAAGCCCATGTCCGCCAATGGCACCCGAGAGAGATCAGAAGGCTGGTGACAGCAAGGTTATAATCTGTAAAATACCGAACTTTGCGATCCAATAAGGACTTTGCATGATTCTGGAAAAAAGAAAGCAAGGCCCCGCTCAAATAGACTCGGCTCCTATCGTATGTCCTAGAATGTCCATGTGCGCACCAGTATTGGTATTCAACCACGGCATAGTTGCATTCGATGTTTTACCCGGTGTGCTGTATCTTTTTGACTTGCTTCGTTGCTGGAATGTCGTCAAGGAATCGTCGATTGCTTACAGTCGTCTGCCCAGCCCTAATTTCACCAAATGTTGATGAAGCTCGATCAGAATGAAAAGCTACCACTGCATTCTAATTGAATGTGCACGCGTTACTTTGGCCGCCATGACCATGGCCCAGCCCGAATGCGAAAGAAGTCTATATTATGAGATAGTACTCTACCATCATGTGATATGGAGACTGGAAATCATTCATTGACGTGTTCAGTGACATGCAGGCGTATATGTTGCACGCTATGTAGTTGTGCCCGCGACTTGCGTACACGTGCTGCATCATGTGTGCATTCAACGGATTGGTGGATGCATTCGTTGTTCCCACCGCATTTATCCCTGACCCGTGCGTCTTTACATATATGGTTGTGCATTATGTCGAGGCTGCTCAGATGTGCGTTCCTAAAGCCTGCTAGCTCAGCAAGCATGACATCACCAACCATTAGTGCTTCTGGAGATAGCCTTAACAGGATGCTCGAAAGCTACCGTCATGCTTCAGCCGTTTGAGGATCACTCGCAAGGTGGGTTCAGCAGCATTCCACAGGCACTGAAGAAGCATTGCAACCTGATAAAAGGGTGCATTCAGAGAACGGCAAGCAAGCGGAGACAGTCAATACAATCAATATACAATAACAGAAAGTTGGTGAGACGGTGCTTCATTGGCGACCTAGTCCTTCATCTCGGAAGTATCTTTCCCCTCGGCACCCTCAGTTTCCGTCTTCGCTTCCGTCTCCATCTTCGCTTCCGCCTCCTGCTTGGGGTCAGGAACGGCGTAGTACTTGTAGTGCAGCTCCCCCACGTCGTCCCCGCTCACCTTGGTCCACCCGTCCTTGCCCACGTGGTACACTGCACCACCAGCACACCCGCTCAGACACGCACGCTTCGCCGCTGGCAGAACCCAGCTAGCTGTAGCCATTAGGTGCTTGAAACAAGGGCGCTTCAACAGAGCGAAACAGAGTGTAACAGGGCGCCGCTACAGCAGAACACCACCTCGACCACTCACCGCTGACGGTGCCCCCGCTGTAGGCGTCCCGGAAGGTGGCGTGGTAGATGGCGCGCCGCCCCAGCTCCTGCGCATCTTCGCGGCTCATGTTCCACTGGTACCTGAAGCGCACATCAGCAGATCAGAAAGATCAGCAGAATAGCAGATTAGCAGATCAGGCAGATTAGCAGATTAGCCCGCGCCACGCCCCCAACCCCGTGCCACAAACGACAGCAAGCCGACAACTGGGTGTGTCTGTCGCCCGCTGCTTTCAGAGGTTGCAGCGGCAGTGTGCAGGGCGGCCTGGCCGGCCTGGCGGGCTCACCCTGTGTCCAGAACCCCATACGCATACGTGGACCCCGAGCCCACCGAGAAGCGCTTCCCTCGGACACGTGAACCCTCGCTGTCGACATAGAACAGACCCGGCCCCTGCAAACGCAGCAGGGTACACCTTCAGGGACAGCCATGTGGATACATCTAGAGCAGCCTGCCCCTGCACACCTGCTAGCGGGAGCGAGGGCGACTGGGACTGAGAGAGCTCCAGTAAACGCCCCTGAGCGACTTGGAACACGCAGGACTCTCCTCCTCTACCGGGGCTGCTTTCAGCACTCGCCCATATTGTCCCGTGGCCCAAGGCCATCCAAATGCAGCCGTTGCTCAGGCGACAGTAGGGTGGAGGGGCCAGCGTACCGTCTCATCCCACCCCGCGACCATGGTCCCCTGCACAAGCCCAAAACCACTGGTGAGACACTGAAGAGGATGTGAAGCCTCACGTGCAGACACATGAAGTGGTGTAATCAGACAGGAAACTCTTCCCAATCACTGGACAGCAGCGTACCAAAGTGGCGGAGGGCGATGGCTGACCATTGAGAGGCCCATTCCCTTGTAGCCGTATAGCGTGTTGGCCAGCAGCTTGGACGCGCCGGTCACACTGATGCGCTTCTTGTTGGCCAGCTCGTGCAGCCGGCACTGCACACCACGCACAGCAGGCGCACGTCAGAAAGAAGCGGTGCCAGGGTCCAAAAAGGGCAGCTGACGCGGTGCAGCCCCTCATGTGCTGACCACAGTGCGCAAAGGGGCCTGCCCGCACGCCTCTCCCCAGAAGCGCCCTGCTCAACCTGGCTGGATGCAGCACGTTCTGCCGGGGGGCATGGCTGCGTACACTGACCTGGATGCCGAGGTCCCGCTGCCAGAACTGACAGTCAGCGGCGCCACCGGCCATGGTCCCCAGCAGGTACGGGTTGATCTCAATCACCTTCTTGACCGTCTGGGACGCTGCACAACACAACAGCAGGACGGCCATGTCAGAAGAGAGAATCAAGTGCCTTGCCCTTCTTGACACACTTTTTGACAGCCATCCCCAGATTATCGCAAGTCGCTGCCCTGTTGGCGCAAGGCCCCCTTTTCACAGCATCGCCCATCGAAAGACTCGTGACGCCAGTAAATCATAATACTTTGCGAGCAAGAAGAAAACGCCAAGTGTTGGAGATTCACAACCAATCGGCGAAGTGACGTGGATTCGCGACGGATGAAGTAGTGCTGCTGGATGCGCCGGTGGCAGGCTCACAGATGTAGGGTCCCATGCTGGCGCGCGAGTCCACGGCCACCACCACCCCGTGCTGGTAGATGAAGGCCAACGTGGTGGTGCCGTGCGCCGGCTTCACCAGGTCCACCGCCGCAGCCTCAAAGCCATCGAGCTGCACGCACGGGCAGGAGCGGGGCGGGGGTGGGTGGCAGGACAGCAACAGCAAAAGGAGGCAGCCAGCTGCAGGGGATGGGCATAAGAGGCAGCCCAACCATGGACAATTGCACGGCGAATTTATGACAGGCCAATGAAGTTGCGCCAGCTCAAATCTTGCAGGTATGCTTGGGGGCACTCCTGCACAGTGCCAACCCGCTCGTGCTCTTCGATCCTGTTTTTGATGACCCTAAGTGGACTCCCTGTAGGTTCGAAACGTCGATGACATCGCTGTATCAAATTCAGCGATGCAACCAGAGTGATCAACACGAGGAGGATGCACAGCGAGCCCAGCCATGCCAACCGACGGAGACGGTCACTATCAACCATGTTTGGCTGCAATTATGCTTACGTCTTTCACAGCTGGGAGCTCAAACCCCGGAAGTCCCAGCAGGGTCCCAGCCCCCGCCTCTGGAACCTGTCGCCTCAGCGAGGGGGGATCCAAGCAGCGCATGTCCAGCAGCATGGTGGCCACCAGATGCCTTGTCCTGCAATAACGACCAGAAGCCCAAGGTCCGGGTGAACGAGCTTTGATACAACTATCCGGAGCAAGAATAGCGTCTTGGAAGCAATCCTGGCCTGCAATCAGTTGAACACGTACAGCCTCAGCAGGCTCAAGAGGCCTTGATTCTGAAAGGCCTTGATTCTGAAAGGCCTTGATTCTGAACCTGGTACCCCCCCATATTTATTTTGAGGGGGGGGGCACGGGGCCCGATTGGTGACCCAGGGTGAGGGGGAGAGGGCCGGCCGGCATTCTAAAACCTTCCGGGCCCCCATGGGGGGGTGGCTTGACGCCTTCGCGCGCCGCGAGGGTCTTATGTACCACTTTCACCAACACACACATCCCTGATTTTATGATGAAATTTATCCTTCAAATCGAGCATCAAAAGAGTCAAACTGGCGATTGCAAAAATTGAAGAGCTGCCCTGCGGGATATTACCAAAAAGTGTTGTACGTATAAGGAAGTGAACAAAAAGTGAGGGATATACGAGCATAGGCCAAAATTATGCAGTGAAAAAGGAGTACGTGAAAAACTTGGAAAATCCTATGGCTATTCGATCCATGTGCCCGATCTCGAGCCTATATGCAGCAGGGCCAGGGGGAAGGGGGGGGGGGCTTGGGGCCCCGGCGCAGCTGAGGCCCCCTACCTGGGGTCTTGGCAAGGGACCCCTTTCGAATATGGGGGGATACCAGTTACAAATTGACGGTACCCTCATGGAAGACAGGAGCTCGACCTTTTATATATTGCTAATTATCTTGGAGCGCGCCAGGTACCACCATGGCAGCACGCCCAGGCATCCGCTGGATGGTGGTGGGGGACAGATGTGCTCTCAATGGCTCCATTCTGCAGTTAATGGATGGAAAGGCATCCTGATAATTCTGGCACCGGTGTCCAAGAAGCAACAGCAACATGTTTCCAGTCTTGAAAGCGCAATTTGAAAAGGCGGTGCCGAAGCAGTCGGCTGAGGTGGATACAGTGCACTATACTGAGCATGTAACGTTCTCATTCAGTGCAAGGTTGCCGCGTGCAAAACTGCACTCAAGAAACAGGTGAGTGAAAAGCCTCAGGATGGGAACATTCTGTCACTGCTTGGGGTCTGCTACAGCTGATCGGCTACACAATTGAAAGAGTCAATGCAGTGGGAAAATTTCTCTGGCATCCCCATCGATGGTGAGGGCGTCTCAGAGTCTGCCTCAAATCATACAGTAGGCTTCGAAATCCTCAATCTCGGCCCTTACTATTGACCTTGTGGACAATTTGGCAAGGGTAGTGGCACAGCATTGCCTTTCTCTCCTCCTGATGGGGTAGCGAGGGTGCATTTGAGGTCTTTGCAGCTCTGACCTGAGTGCGGACGGTACGCGAGACACTTTCTCTGTCATGTACAGGCGAGCAAGGAGAGTGTTTAAGAACCTGTCAGCATCCAATCCCCAAAGAGAGTGTGAACTGGATGTAAGCCAGCCCTTTACTTGGTTGCACTGCTGAAACTATCTGGCTTATGACGTGCTGACGGCCTTTTCTTCATTGGAATCACAGACAGTGGTAAAGTGATGTGCAGCATAGTGCGTCATTTGAGCTTGTGCTGTGTTGTGCGGTCCTTTGCAGAGTCCTGCCTTTGAGTGGGTGGACTACAGCGCTCCTTCAGTGTGCCTCGAGGAAGAGGAGGATGGGGCCTGCCTCCGGGAAGAGCCCGCCCCCTGTTCTGAGGACCCCAGTGCGCTGGTGTGCTCCATTGACACCCGCCAGCTGCCACAGAAGAGGTGGGTGCACTCTGGGCTGTGTTGCCTTAGCAGTTAAGGCCTTCAAGCTAAGCCCCTTGAGAAGTAGCTAGCTGAGGAGCTAGCGGGGGATTGGACGTGTCTCGCTTGTTTCACACGAAGTACCACTCATGACAGTTTGGAGCACAATACACATACAGTTGATCTGTAGACTGGGAGTGGCGGTTTCACTGCAGCCTTGGCCTTGCAGGAAGCGGCGTCCTTGGGTGTCTCTCGTCATTGACGACATGGGGGTGGATACCTGGGCCTCTGAGAGGGCCGTCCGCCTGCGCCCCGCTGTCACGCTGTCGTACCTGCCTTATGGGCCCCAAGTACGGCAGCAGGTGGGCAAGCCTGCCGCGGCAGCCATGCAAGACCAACAGATTGCCGCTGATATTGTTGTCAACACTTGGCACCTCCTGCGATGCCCTCGTTGAGGAATGCCACATTGAAGACCTGTCCAATCGCTCAACGGCGGAGCTGAGCTGTGGTGTTGCAGGCTCGGGCAGCGGCGGCAGCGGGGCACGAGTTGATGGTGCACCTGCCGATGGAGCCGTTCAACAAGGCGGCAGACGCGGGGCCCAACGCGCTGCACTCCAGCATGGCGCCGCACCAGCTCAAGGAGCACCTGCACTGGGCGCTCTCGCAGTTTGACGGTAAGAACTAGCCCGATGCTGAAGGGCAACGTTGTCACAGCAAGCTGCACCGCACTTGCATTGAGAATTGAAAATGCCCTGCCCAGCTTCGTCTGGCTTTGGAACTTTCTGACGAGTCCGCTTCTAATCCATCATCTGTGATATTGCAGGTTATGTTGGGTTGAACAATCACATGGGGAGCCTGTTTACCAGCAGGTCCCCGGGGGGTATGACGGTGGTGCTGGAAGAACTGCAGAAACGAGGTGGGGCCCCTTACACCACTGTCCATCACAGCATCGCCAGAACTTGTTAGTGCTGTTTTTGGTAATAGAGTCATCGAGTTCACTACTCCTGCCAGGTTCTGTGGACTTGGGCCACTCACTGTGCCCGTCAGGCGCTGTCATCTCGGGCTTCGCTGACGTCTGTCTTCCTGCGCAGAGCTGTTCTTTCTGGACTCTCTGACCGCCACAGACAGTTTGGGCCAGGAGCTGGCAGCCCACCTGGGGACCACATTCGGTGCACGCGATGTGAGGCTGCGCTGGCCGGCCTCCATAAACATGCCTGCTCTTCTGTTGCCTGATCTCTCCAATGCTTGTCTTTTGCCAACGAACTGCCCTCTCCCCTTCTTGTCAGCTGCACTCTCCTATCCCCAGGGAGCTCGCAGGCCTGGCCCTGGCTGTCCATGCACTCGTTACCCACGTCCTGTCCTTGACTGGGTTGCGTGCAGGTGTTCCTGGACTCACAGCGCGGGGCAGTCTCTGCGGTGGGGGAGCGGCTGCAGGAGGTGGAGCAGCTGGCCCACAAGAATGGGCATGCCATTGGTAGGCGCACATGCCTGCAGTCGACCTTTTGACGGGCCTCACTCTGAGGAGGTTGAGAGCCATCGTGTCGAAAGATTCCTGCAGATGCACAGCAAAACTCTGGTCCTGGCCTGACCGTTGACATGTGCACTTCTGCGTGCAGCCATCGGGCACCCATACGATGAAACGCTGGAGGCCCTTGAGAAGTGGCTGCCCCTGCTGCACAGCAAGGGCCTTGTCCTGGTGAGCCACGGCCGTTGCACCTCCGGCACTGTCACCATTGCAGATGCAACCAGCACGGCCGAGAGAGTTCAGCCGCACCTGAAGTCGCACCTAGTCTCCAGCAGGTGGACGATGCGGCCTTGTCGCATCTGAGACTTGTCTTGACAGGGGGTGCTCTGGCGTGGGTGCAGATGCCCCTCAAGAAGGCTCTCCTTCGGGAACGCAAGGAGCGGGAACGAGCTGCAGGCGAGGCGGTGCTGGCCTTCACGCGAGCTAAGCAGGTGCAGAGTGTGGATAACACCTGGTCGTGTCCAACTTTTCCTTTCTACGACGACTCTTCTGCACGAACAGTGCTTTCCAGAAATTGAGTCTCAGAGTGGCCATAACATGACGACGCCGAGCCCTCCAGCAAGCTGTTTGAAGATGCCCGCTTCCCACTGACGTTGCGTTCCTGTTGGCTGACTTCATTGTGTGCTTTGTAGCTGCGGGCCATTCAAGCGCAGCGCGACCGGGCCTGGCAGGAGCGCCAGGCGAAGCTGGTGGCGGCAGAGCTGGAGCAGGCCTTTGGGGACGGCACGGTGCTGGCGTGGCAGGGCCTGCAGGATGCGGGCGTGGAGAAGGCGCTGCGCGCCGCGCTGGCGAGGCAGCGGCCGCCATCCGGCAGCCTCAAGGCGAGCCTGCAACGGCTGCTGGCAGCACCGTTCTGGGGAGGCAAAACGGAGGAGCCGCAGGTGGAGAAGGCCGCGGCGCGGCTGCTGCGCAGGCGGGGACACCCACAGCAGCGGCCGGACCTGTTGGCCACGCGGGCAGGGGGCCTGCACGCCCACGCCTTACTGCACCCGAAGCTGCCCGACATGGTGCGCCGGGGCCGAGGCAGGGCCAGAGGTGGGAGGGGTCTTGTGGACAACAGTCTGCCGATGCTGGCTGTGAGGGACGACGTGAAGGCCGTTCAGCAGGAGGGTGCCCGTTGCGAGGAAGCAGGGCCAGGAGGGGATGTAGAAAGGATGGCAGGCAGCAAGGGCCCCCCACGTCTGGTCGGCAAGAGACGCAGAGGCAGGCAAGACAGGGTTCCTCGGGCGGAGGTGGGCCAGCCATGCCGGCAGCAACGGCAAGCAGGCGACGAGGCGCACCTTGGAGGCGCTTCACAGGAGGGCAGTGGCGCCACGGCGGAGTGGGCTCCCCTGTCAGGACACCCGCTCAGCTGGACGACGGGGGAGGACAGCAACGAGGCCGCAGCGGACCTGCGACGGGGCGTGCTGGTGGCAGCGGCGCTGCAGCAAAGCCGGGGACGGCTAAATGCGCCAGGAGGACGGACAGGCCCAGGTGGGAGCGGGTGGCGGGGTGGGGCGAGAGCTGTGAGAGCTGGAGGGGGCGAGAAGGACCCCGCGGCAGCCCAGCAGCGGGGCGGGGAGGCCAACGAGGGCGCCATGCAGCGCTGGCTGGCGCAGCTGGGTGGGGGCAAGCTGTCCGCCGGCAGCAGCCCCAGGAGCGTCATCGTCCCTGAGGCACTTGAGGAGCCAGCCGACGCCTCCAGCCCCGAGCACTCGGCCCCCGGAAGTCGTACGCCGTCTCTCTCGTCCAGTGAAGTGTCCACTTGCGGGACAGGCCCGGCTGTGCTGGAGGGATGGTCGTCCCCGGCGCGCAGCAGCAGCTCCAGTGACGATGTGCCGAGCAGTCTGTCGGAGGCCAGCTCAGGCGAGGAGGCAGGCCCCGCAGGCGGCGCAGCGTGGAGAGCAGCGCTGCAGTCGGCCTCCACAGTGGCAGCCGCACTGGCGGTGGCCATGCACCTGGCGGCACACGCCCGCCGGAAGACTGAGGAGGCAGCGCAGGCAAACCCGCCCAGGCTGGCTGGCCCCTCAGGCTTCACTGCTGCGATCGGAGGACCCGAACAGTCGCTTGGGCCAGAAATGTCGGCGAATGGTGTGTCGCCCAAGAAGGCGACCCGGTGCAGTTTCAGCAGGCTGGAGATGCGGCCTGCGGCGGAGCTGTCCGTTAAAGCGGCGGCACCCGCCAGCTCTGCAGCCCGCCCAGCTGCGCAGGCAGGAGTCCGGGCCGCAGCTGGCAAGGAGGAGGTGCTGCCCTCTACGGCTTCTGGTGCGGATGCGGATGGTGCGGCGGGCAGCCTGGCGCGCCCTGCCTGCCACGCCCTGGCCGCCCTGGAGAAGCCCACACAGGACCGCCCGCCTCTGGCCCTCACCCCAGCTGAGGCGAGCGGTGAGGAACTGCCAACACAACCACAGACGGGCGGGCACGAGGCCCGGCCCGCGTGCCAGCCAGCAGCCAGCCCCGAGGGCAACCCAGCAGACGGTATCGGGGCGCCCGCGGTGCTGCAGCAGACGGACCACGCTGGCCGTGAGCTGCGGCGGGCCGGTCTGGTCGCACCAGGCGTCCCGGGCCAGCGACGAGCACGAGCCGTTACCTCCGAGGAAGGGGGACGCGCCTCCCAGGGGCCGGCCGTGCTGGTGGCCCTCAGGCAGCAGGGAGAGGCCGAGCAGGGGGCGGCCCAGCCGGTGTGCTCCCTCCCAGGTGCGGTAGATGTGGCAGGGGCGCCAGGAGCTGCGAGCGGAGCAGCTGGGGCTGAGGAGGCGCAGCTGGAGGAGCCAGGGTCGCCTACGGCCAGCGGCAGCTTGAGTGCGGAGCCGGAGTGGTGTGACGCCGAGGCGGAGCCCGTGTCGCCCGCGAGCACCCCTTCGTCTTGTGCAGCCAGCGGGGTGCAGGGGTCCGTTGCGTGTCAGCTGGCAGCTGGTGGACGCGTGCAATATGAGTACACCTCCACTGGGGACGGGCCAGCGGATGCTGTGCATGCGCCCTTAGGGAGCACGGCAGTGGGTACAATCAGCGAGTTGAGCAAAGCGATGGGGCGCTGTAGCGGAGAGGGGGCCCGCTCAACGGCTAGCAAAGCAGGCGCAGGCGTGCAGGGAAACATAGAGGCGGAGCAGAGCAAGAAGTTCGGCTGGTGGCGCTGGACGGTCGGGTGTGTCCTGGGAGGCTTCGAGGACGCAGGGACGAGAGAGAGCGGGGACCGCATGCGGCCAGCAGCTCTACACGGGAAAAGACGCGTTGTACCCCTCGACGTGGACGATCCGCAGTAAAGAATTACTCACTTCGACTGCTAGCCTAGGCGTGTTGTTTATTTAGTGTTTCGAGTTGCTCTACTTGTTGCAGGCTCGTCTCCTAGCCTCCTCACACAAAGTTAAGAGACGTGCAATCCTTGATACAACTGCAGATCAGGGAACTCAGCGGAGTAGGTAGTCACCCGCCTGTTTGCATCAGTGGCGCATGGGTGACTGTAAAGTTAGAGGGTTGCCGCTTTGACAGACGGTAGCTTCAAACCGGTTCCGCAACGCAGCAACAGTTCAGGCCCAGTCAAGCGTTGGCACATTGCTAAGCTGTTCTTACAGAACTAGAATGTCTGAGGGGCTCAATATGAATTGAAGACGGGACTGTTGTTACCTAAGCACACCTGCATTTGGTTCTCAGCCTTAATCTTGAAAATGGTGCATGTACATGTAAATGGTACATTACATCAGCAGTCGTAGTAGTCGATCCGGAAGCAATGATCCTTGCACGGCGGCTGCAAGCCCTTATTCTGATCAAACGTACCTTATGTCAATATCCAGGCATGTGCAACGTAACTGCTTGCCCAACAGTCTCACCTGTATGTGAGCACTCGATTGCCAGCGCTGACCGTGTATACTCCGTATACTATGATATCTCTAAAATTAAGTCGGACATGGTTTTAAGAAATCGCAAGCCCATGAGCCATTGACTCGAGTTTTCACAGGTATACGTGGCCGGCTATATACAACGCAATGATCACGGTCACTCGCGATATATTTTATCCTCCAGTATGATTCCATACAAGGCGGCATGCACATAAAACCCTGCAGCCTCTTAGAGATCGATCGCAGCACTGTGATGCCATCAGCTAGATTTCTGACTTCACTGCTTCATTAGGTTATAGATCGACGCAGAACTCGATTGTGTCGGGTCACCTGCCGCGCTGAGGTGGAGCTTCAAAACGTGGACGGTACCATGGCCCTACGTACAAAACATGGTTGAAACAAATTGCACACTTGTCTAATACAGACTTACGGACTTCTCGAGACTCAAATTATACTCGGCCGCGTTGATTACAAAAGCTTCCTGCCTCTTGCAATTCGATCATTGCGCAGCCGCACCTCAGGCTCGCAGGCTGTGCACGGCCAGAGTCACCCCTGGTTGACACATCTGGGAGCTTACGTTCTCGTGCACCAATGACTGTTTGCAATTACAATCACTGCTGCGATCGCAACCGCGATGGGTCAATCAAACCGCAGAACCAGCTTATAGTCACCTTCATATGCTCTCAGATTGCGGAGTCCTAGAAGTTGTGCGGTATCTTTTGGTGAAATATCTTCTCACAATCAGGATACGTGCATCAGCTTTCCAGCCATGCATGGAGGAAGGAAGGGAGGACCTCCTCAGGTGCGAATAGTCGTGTCAATAGTGGAAAGACTGTCGAAGTGGAGAGTTCTCGAGCAGCCGGTGCGTAATACGGTCTTCAAGAGATCCTCTCAAAAGCGTACGCGACTGACTCGCTCAAGAGGAGAGTCCGCTGGGACTAAACCTCTTTTTATGTTACGGTTTGGTTTTGTGTTCAGTTGAGACCTTTGTTGTGCTGGAAAGGGTTCCTTTTGGGCTTGCTTAACCTAGTCTCAGTCCTCTTTCCAGAAAGCAAGTTTGTCATGTGTTCTCAGCCTCCTAGCTCTGCACCGGCGCCTGCGCCTCCATCAGGCTTCAACGGTACAGAAATTCCTCTCACGTGCTTGACGTCGTCCCGAATCGGCGACCCTTTCCGTGTAGCCGTCGGCATATGGGATGTGTGGAGCTCGGCGGTCGCTTACGTGAGAGCCGCAAGCTGTCGGCGGATTGGCGAGATCTCTGCAGCGGCCACGACACCTGAAAGCTGATCAGGACGTTTCGGCAAAGCCTGCCGCCGGCCAGCACCACGGCTTGAGAACTAGTTGCACGCTGGAAGCAATCTCTGCGAGCCGCACCAAATTTTCACACGGCACTCGTCTGTGGGCAAGATATAATGTGAGTTTCCGTGCGTGGGAGCACGCAGCAGGGGTGCGGCGCCTCACGGAGGTGCGTGTCCAGGTCGGGCCGCGCGTCGCCGCTCGCGTCCTCGTCGGTGAGCAGCGGCATGGGCTGCACCAGCAGCTGCAGCGAAGGGACGGCCCCGGCCGCCTGCTGCACATCACGGGGCAGCAGGGGAGCGGCGTCAGGGGGCCACTGCAGTGGTGGAACGCGGGGAGGACGATCAGGGGCGCGCTACTCGCAGCCAGCACAGGATCAACCAACTACATGAATCTAACTAGTGGAGGATCTGCAGATGACGATGGGCGGTCTTGGCGACGTCACCTCAAGAACGAGCTTGCGAGTGATGCCAGCAACGGGCGGAGTGGCGGCGCGGGGGCGCTTGCCTGCTTGTAGCTGAGCATGAGGTCCTTGAAGGCCTGGAAGTCGCACAGCGTCATCAGGAAGTCGAAGACGTCGCCCTCCGCCTCCCCGTGCTCGCTGCACACACACGCCGGCCGCTCAACGTCGTCCGAGCTGCTGCTCATGCATCTAGGTCCAAAATCACATGAGTGGTGGTGGATCAGAACGCGCAGCCCGTCTTCTTCAAAGTTGCAGGGGTTGACCCTTGTTTGAGTAACATAGAGCGTCCGGATTTTTAATCAGGCCACGCCCGCTCTCAGAAAGCTCAAAGGGGCCTGGCAGCTGGAACGGGTCACGTCCTTTGGCTTTGTGCGACGCTGCCCTGTTGAGGCGCCTCACCTGAGCTGGTGCAGGAAGTCGTGGAGGGGCAGATCCGGGAGCGCCTCCGCCAGGCGCGCCGCAATCACACCGTCCAGCACGTCCACCTGCACCACACACGCGCTCAGCACTGCACTCAGCAATGCAGGGAATAAGGGAGGGGCCGCTGATGCACCTGCCGCTCTCATTTTTACGGAGGTAGCCAGGGCAGCACGGGGCAGCAGGGCAGCGGCTGGAGAGCTGGAGACTGGGAAACACTGGGGACTGCACGGTGGGCTCACGTATTGTTGGAAGAGCTCCATGTACTCCAGCTTGTTCTCATCACTGTCCTCAAACACCGCACAGTGCGCGGCGCAGAAGGACGTCTGGGCCTCCTCAAAATCCGCATCTGCATAGCGGCCCACACTGCTGGTAAGTGGTCACATCTGCGATGGCCACCGGCATACTGGGAGCCAGAAACAGTGTGCCCAAGAGAGATGCTTTGCATGCTGCAGAGACAAAGCAACCAGAAGTTGACCTGGTGACCATATGTAGCACACGTCGTCGCTGGCCAGGGTGGCGGCCCCCTCTGCTGGCCTGCTGCCGCCAGCTGCAGTGGCTCACCTGTGATGATGTCCTCCAGCGCCCCCACCATGCGGTCAAAGTCGGCCTCAGCCCCGCTGCTGCTCCTGCATGGCCAGGCCGCCCAGGGATGAGCAGCAGGGAAGGCCGCCCGCCAAGGACAAGGGGGCCAATCCAGACTGCCGTGCTCCTTTGAGGAGGCTGGTCATACCTGCTGTCTGCAGCTTTTCTATGACAGCAGATCAATGCACGAAAACCAATCTAGTAAACAGAACATGCGGTTGATAACTGATCTGCAGGTGGTGCACCCTGCAAGCTACAAGAGCCAGATTTCTAGAGCTGACAAATCGAATTTTCAACTGTTTCTAGCCCTTACATACAGCAGTCGACGACCTCCTCCATCCCATCAGGTATGCACTGCGAGTCCTGGCACTCATCAGCTGCAAGAAGACAAGACAAGCTCGTCAAAGTGGCTCTGCTCCGGAAAGAAGATCTAACCCTGCTCTTCACTAGATCAAAGATTCAACCTGCTGCAACACAGACAAGAGCAAGGGCAGGCCACTCATGGGCTCACCAATAATGTCCACGTCAAGATCCTCAAGCAGAGGGCTAGGACCGGCCATCGAAGTTACCCGGAACGAGCTCCCCGAATTGTGTAGCTGCAGGGGATGAAGCACCACACTGCGGCAAACACTTCCAAACAAGCTGGCGACTTTGAAGAGCTGAGCGCGTGGGCTCGAGCCAACGTCAGCTTATTATTCATTTGTGAGTCTCTTGTATAGCACGGTACACAAGCTGGTGGTAAATGGAAAGTCTGTAAACCTGTTGGCAGTGTTTTACACCCAACTTTAACCCACCTACATAGACTTCTGCATGTTCAGCGCATCGCAAGAGCTCAGAAATGAAGAAAGGGCCAATCATACCTGATCAAGAGACCTTGCCTAAAGGAATTGTACCGTCTGCCCTAGAATTTCCTTGTAAAACGTGCGCGCACAACACAATTTTACGGCTGCGATTGCAATTTGGTCAGGTGCTGCGAAGACTTGCCGTCCGATGTGAATGCGGAGTACCTCTCAGTGTACCAAATTGGACGGTACGTATCTATCGGTTGCCGGAGTCTTGACCTCCGATTCACCGAAGCGACGTCCGACTCGCCGCTCCGGCGACAGTACTGAGTACGGCCCCCCGTACGGCCACAAAAGCGGACTCGGGATGTTGCACGCTTAAAGTTGGCTGATAGATCGAGGCTCATGAGCATGTGGCGGCGCCGCCTTCAATTTGGGATTGTGGAAAGCAAGAGGATAGTGCAACCCTTTGACCATGGCCTGGGCATATTGAGTACTGACAGTAGAAAGAATGCTCACTTCTCATTACAAAGCAACTTCAAACCAGATATTCAAGCAAACCAGCCACCTCAAACAACGTTCATATGCTCAACCTCCTGATCCTCACTCACTGTTCGACGTGACCCGCTAGCTTAGTAAGCTTGAAGCAACTGAGGGGCAACTGAGTCGATTCAATTTTGGGGCAGATTTGCTGCAGCACACCTCGAGCTGCGGCCACCACACAACTGTACAGATGTGATTTACCACCCAAATCCATAACAGAACTGCAGTAATTTCACCAGTGCCTTAAGTCCCCCCGAACAGTTGCCCTGCTATTGCGAGACTGTCCGTGAAGACCCTCCGCGACTCAGTGCGTCTGTTCCGCGACTTTGTTCTGCGAGCTTCGCGACAAGTTCAACACCATGATGAGTTTACAACCCTTTTCGAATGTAGTGATGATCGAAGTTAGTGTCATGCATTTGGGGCTGAAGAAGCAATACCGACCGCCTGCAACGGGTTCATCAAGGCATGTTGCCGATGATCGAATCGTAATGCTGGGATTTTGGACTCCACCAACGGCCGTTGCAAAGCACTTGGAAAGTCAGCATGCACGAGTGCTTATGGAGCCAAGCTGCCATTGTTGAAAGTCTTGGAGACATGGCTACCAATTGAAAGTTGCTTATGGGCGCCAGCGATCTTAATGCTGGCAGGTCCAAGCATCCCTATGTTCGATAAGTTCAAGCAGGTCGGCTTTCTTCGGTTTGATGCATCAGAAACCAACGAGCATGCCTTATATTATCCTAACAGCAACTCCTCAAGGTGAGGTCACCTGTACATGCGAAGTGAAAATATGCATAGCTTGTTATTTCATCTATACCCAGATGACACATGACTTGGTTGGAATGAAGCCAACGTCGTCGTTTCGTACTTGGTCGAAGTCAAGCCATTAGACCTACTTCTTGAGTCGAGGTACAAGCTAGACCGCTTTTAGACATCGTCATCCGTTGCCCCTTCTGCAAGCGGCAGGCGGCCCAAAGCCACGGTTGGGATGCCACTACCAGTTGGGCCTGCTCCAACAGTTGAGCGTCTGATTAATTGAAGGTAGCAATTAAGTTCCCCGGTTGAGTCGTCCGCCAGATAACAGTTCACTTTGAAAACATCCAACATGTGAATCATTGTACCTCGAAGACATTGAAGAACTAATTGGCGAATTATCCTGAACCAGTTTCCAGTGCTCGGTAGATGAGCCGATGATGATGATTGATGTTGATCCTGATGTGGCAGGACTCGAAGCACGGCCTAGCTAGTGAGCGCCGTGCTGTGGGCAAAAAGAGTCGGCTGGCCGTTGGAGAAGCAAGCATGATGCAACCAAGCATCCCAAACAGGAACGTACTGCAAGCCGAAAACTAGGTATACAAAGTCTCGGAAAGGCGCTCTATAGTTACAGTAGATTTGGCTTTCACTCGATGCCTGGAGGTGGCAATCGAACGTTCATCATGAGCACCTTCGCGGTAGCGAAGCCTGGATGCTGCAGAACGACTGGGACGCTTTGAGCATACGTATGATACAATGTCAATGATGTCAGTTTTGCTCCCACGGGCCCTGCCCGTTGCTGACTGTCTCGTGCATCGACTGCACTTGACACAGGCACGGAGAGGGCCTCACATACTACCACTTACTAGAATGTGAATCACTGAAATGATCGAGTCCAAGGGGGGGAGCCGCGTGTCCTCCAAACCCTTCGGCGTCGACTTCGTGAGTACTTCCCCTC